TGATGAGAATTTATTGAAAGTATACGTATGCTCGCCAATTACTCTTCGGACTTAATAAATCATCAGTGATTGTATGAAATCATGAGTTTTTATGACAGGGTCCCAATTATGTTTTACCATGTATCGTTGAAAGGTCCAACAAGCTTAGTTTTTGACATAATAACTGAGAATTATTGCTTTGTTTGAAAAAAGAGCAATTTAGAAACCTAATGCCATTTCAGTATAACCACTCAAAAGAGAATAGGGTCAATTAATGCCTTTCGATATTTCTGGAGGAGAGAGAGTTGGCTGGCGTTGGCCATCCTGCAGGGGTGTGCAGTTTCGCAGCTTTCTTTCTGTGGATACTTTGAGCGCAAGCATAGGAGTCACTTGATCTGCATCACCTGGCAAAGAGCAGCAAGTGCTTTGTAAATAATGTGAACAATCACAACCTGCCGAAAACCAGGAATGAGCCAGACAGTAACAGTACGGACTGCAACTCGTGCACAATGCCTAAATCTCCTCGCAAACCGACAAACGCGCATATACGAAAACTTTGAAACAATAATCAAAAACATTACGCGAATTTAAAACTTAAAGAAAATATAAAAAGTACTAGTTGTTTGTTTAGAAAAACAACTTTTTTTAGGTAATCTAAAATTCCGCGATCCGGTTGAGGATGCCAGTTTTGTGCGCGCAAAAACCTCCAGCAGGCCCCCAGCTCGACATGGTCAACGCCCTGTCAGCCAAATCCACGGATCCCCCCGTCGAAAGTCTGGGGAGATAGGAGGCGATCTGGCGGTGACGACGGGGATTCGATCGGGTGAGGACGGGGTTTTCAACCCGCATATCCCCGTCCTCACCCCCAGATCTCCCCGTCGAAATTCAGGGGAGAGTATGCACATTATCAAATTATCCGTTAAAATAATATCAAATGTCACCTAAAACGCACGATAAGTTCAAAATAGTCAAAAATGAGTTAGATTGCCCTTTAGGTCCGTCTACAACATTCTAGAAATTTCGGGTTACGG